AAGAGCAGTTATAGTCTTGCCTAATCCAGGCTCATCACAGAACATTCCCCCGTGAAAATCATTGACAGTGGGAGCCACCCCAGTGATTATTTCCCCAGATATGGTGTTTATGTAGAAAGAAAATCCATCTTCAGTTGAGAAAGCCATGTACAACGGATGTGGCAAGACGTCAGCATTTCTCTCACGTTGTAGCATCCACTCAACTGCTGCTTGCTGATGAGGAAACAGTTTAAGTTTCATGCATGGCATGATTGAGACAGCCAGCAGTCTCAGATGGCGGCAGGTTGCAGATACCCTAACAAGGTCAATTGGGCTAAGCACAGCAAGAATACCAAGTAAAATGTCATCAGATATCTCCGAAATACCAGATCTAGAAGAGTCATCACATGACTGTATTCTAGAAGAATTAGGTTTGCCTGTCGTTGCAACACTAGGTAAGCTCTTAAAAATTTCATGAAGCTCAAATAGCTTTTTCTTCGAAGAATCAGAGAAATTATGATGCAGCTTGCAACCAAAAACATGGCAATCTGAAAGATTCCATATGCTTCTATTTGTTCCTACAGTATTTTCGAGATAATCTCCATTGATGAGCATTGCGCTTCTCTCTCCCCAATCAGAACTGCAAAGTGATGTTGTTGAACTTGTTAGGGTGACAAGAACGATATAGAGGTTTTCAATTGTTGGGTAAAGGACCCTTCACTGAATCTGAATAAACCGACTGCAGTAAAACATATAAATAATAAAAAGAAAACAAATTGAAAACTGCAACAACCATTTTCTTAGTTAAGGCAAGTGAAATTGTGTCAAGGAGATACTGCAACAGACAAGAATAACTAGGATTCATAACATCTCTCTTAAGCTGGCCAATCAAAACCTAAATTGTACACATGCCAACCAGTGCTCTGTACCGGCATATTAATATTAGAAAAGAAAAACGTAGACACGGGTGAATGGCAAGGGACATCCTATTTCTGGGGTGTAAACCAATGATTACCATCAACGATAACTTAAGTTGTTTAACCAACTCACGCCAATGTGATACTGACACCTCACTGGTGAGGAACTTTCATTAATCCATGTTGTTTTCTTAAGTATACAAATCTAATTCCATATATAAATATATATGGTAATGTTTCTTGCCGGAATGTAAATCAGGATGGCTGTCTAAGTGTCTAAGTGAGGAGAGTCTAACATGTCAAAGTTTATTTCTCCCCTAACATTCAACATTTCCAAACTAGCTAATCAACATCTAATTGATATACACAGATATAGATATATAAACGCATATACACATATAAATACTAAGAAAAACGAAAGAGTGACGTCTTGCATGTCACCTCAAATGTCGGAACAGAGCACCGGCAACGGAGCCGGACCTCGGGAACTGCCAACCAGACAATAATGCAATAGGGAGATAGACATCAACCAGCAAAACAGCCCTGACTTCTCCATTGGCACCGGCCTCAACCCGAACCAATCGAGCATCTATCATCAAGCACTTGTTCATAACCAAAGAGTGAAGCTGGTGCACCACGCTTATGCTCCCATTCACCAGCCCTATACTCCTCTTCCGCATTCCTATCTTCTTCGAGACCTCCGGGGCCTTCCTCTTCTTCCCCAACTCCGAAGAAGAGGAAGCCTCGCATTGCTCCGAATCATTATTCGTCGAATCATCGGCGTTGGGGTTCTCGTCTATGGGAGATAGGGCGACGTCGTTTCTTGACGTGAAACTCACGCCGGTTTGGGAGAATTGGAAGCGGGTGCCGAAAGGTAAGATTTGGCGGAGATCAGGGTGGTCCGGGGAAGTAACAGTGAGAACGGCACAGAGGAAACCGCTGAGCTTGTGGTCGGAGAACGACGCCGTATCCTCCTGCTCCTCCATGGAATTGACACGGGGATGGATTTACAGAGATTGAGAAGAATTTAAATAAGAAAATTAGTGCATGCAATTGGTTAGGGTTGGGACTGCGTGCGAAGTTACATTGGTTGATAAATCAGTGTGTTTGAATAATGAATATTGAATTGAATTGAACAGGGAAACATGGGATGGGATGATGATGAGGAGACTTGTTTTGGTCCTGATGAGGAGAGGAGACTGCTGTAGCTGTTGGGGTCTGCTTTCCGGGTAAGGGCTTTGTTTATCGCCCCATTTGGGAGATTTCTAAAAGTAAGTCCAATTTAGGGAAGATTTGGGAACATACTCTCTTCTTAATTAATTAATATCCAATTGTAGTTTGTCGGATTTTCCACTTTGGTCTCTATGGTTTTAAGGCTATATCTAAATTTTTGTCAAATTTTCGTAATGAAATAAGCATGTCTCTTTTGTGTGGAGTATTTTAGATGGATATTTAGACTTGTTCTCGAATTTTGATGGATATTAAATTATATATGGCAAATTACGATAATTAAAATCAAATGAATCAAGGTAAAAAATCCAATAAGGAAACTACATGAAGTAACATTTTTCTCATGAAGTAACATTTTTCTCATAAATTAATGTCTCTAGCATTATGGATAATAAAAAAAATACCCGAAGTTTTAAAATTTATTGTTTTAGCAAAGCCTAAATGATGTCCAAGTCTAGAAAATTTGATTGGAGAGACCTACCATCATATTTGTTTTGAGGAATGTCATTGTGTCTTTCGTCTTATTGAGAGATTCATGTCTCTTTTCAGAGTCAATATTCAACATTATCGCAATTCTCTAGAAAAAAAAAATCCATTCAACTAAAAAAAAAAAAGGAAAAAACATTCAAGATTATTTTGTATTTAATTATCCAACAAGAACCACCAAATATCATAATAATATCACCAAGATGAATCGAATGTGCTAAGAATATAGTACAAATATATCCACATACGGACAAATTGAAATTAAACTTTTTTTTTACCAAACGGATTGAAATTAAACTTCAACGTTGGACAACTAAAATGTTGGGCAGATTGGAATAATAATAACATAGGTTATGTTTTCTTCTTTTGTACTATTTCTTTTTTCAAAAATGAGGAAAAAACCAAGTATAGTTGCGTGGTTATACTATTTCTTTAAAAAAAAATTTTAAATATAGCCGCTCAGCTATACTATTTCTTTTTATTATATATAAAAAAAAGGACCCTCCTATTTGCATTAGTTTATACTTTAAAGATACTAATTTGGTATAGCCGCGCGGCTATACAAGTAAAATGTGTATGCGTTTTATGCGGCAAAAAATTTGGCAAATTACGAAGTCAAATTTCGGCCACTATGTAATATGAGAATTTTGTGTGTATTATTGAAACTTTTGTACGTACATATTTTTCATTTTTAGTACACATATATTTTACAAAATTTTAATAATACATGTAAAATTCACATATTATACACATAATTCACATATTATATAGTGGCCAAACTTTTAAGTTGTAATTTGCCAAAATTTTGTAGAATAAAACACGTACGCATTTTACTTGTATAGATGTGCGGCAACACCAAATTAATATCTATAAAGTATAAACTAATGCATAGAGGGTCCTTTTTTCATTTTTCATTTTATAAAATAGTATAGCCGTATGGGTATACTCGGTTTTTACCTTTAAAAAAAAGAAAAAAAAGAAATAGCAGTTGCGTGGCTATATTATGTTTTTCTTATTTTTTTTAAAAAAAGAAATAGCACAATACTTGTTGACGTAGAAAAATGGTTCGGCACTTTTCCGCGCAACTTAGTGATTAAGTCTCTTCGGTATCTGATGTCCTCGGTAGGGTGTGCGATCTGTAAGATAGCAAACACACGGTAAATCCTAGGGCACCGGTGTGGTACCGGCCGAAGGCTCTCCGATACTTAAGTAAGTACGGATTTAGTAAGTTTGAACTACAGATCAATAGGCAGTATGCCGTAAGTTCTCATTGATTACCTTCAAGCTGGGATGGTTGTCCTCTTTTATAGGCCTTGGGAGGTGTGCAATTTGTTTAGAGTTTCGATGTGGGACTCCGGGCGTCAGTTGTGAGACTGCCACGCGTCAAAGGGGGCGAGGTTGCCCTAATGTTGCGATCGGTCGGTTCGGTACCGAAGGTGGGTGCCAAAGGCACACCTGGCCCTGATTTAGCCCACGTGTTTGATATTCATTGGCTGTTCATTTTGGTATAAACAGGAGTCCCCCAAGTCCCCTTGCGAGAGTTCTCGGAAGGGGATTTGAAGTTGTCTTCGGAAGGAATTGTGGCCCTACCGTTCGGCAGTCCAACTTGGTGAAAGGGCTACACTTTGTCCCTTCCGGCATTATTAGTTCAGAGGCTGACGTTGGCGAAGTCAGAAGGTCGCGTCGAGCTGACGGATGAAGGGACGTCTGAGCGCTTCGACTTCCGCGCTCCGCGTGCCGTCTGTTCCCCACAGGATGAGCGACACGTGGCGAAAGTAATGATGGCGCGCGGCGCATTAATGCGCCGTTTGGTTTTTCGAGGAGTACCGTTGTCAACCTCCCCCCTATAAATAAGGATGACCCCGGAGGCGAATTCACTTTGCATCTAGTGAGAAGTGAGAGCTCTGTTTGAGGCGATTTCCGACAAGTGCTTCCGGTATTCCAGGCGATTTCTGACAAGAGCTAACGGCAACCAGGCGATTTCCGGTACTACCAACGGTAGGAAGGGCGATTCGTGTCCAAGCGATCTGAAGCAGTCTCGTGGTCCTCATCCAGAGCTTGACATAAGGTACCATTCGGCACCCTTAATTTACTCTCTTTTTTAACTTAGAGTTACGTCATTCCTTGGTTTGAACTAGACTGGCCATAGGGTTCCATTTGGTAGTCTAGTCGCCATAGGTAGTGATGTAGGGATCGGTAGGATAGTATCCGACATGAACCTTAGTTTCCTTTCTTCCCTGTTTTTGTAGATGTCCGATAGCGAGTCTTTCTCCAAGCGTGAGCCCAACGCGTTCAATGAGGAGTCATCGGAAAGTCTTTTTGACTCCGACGTTGAAGCGGCAGGGCCTGATGCCGAGGAGGGGAGTGATACCGATGTCGAGATACTCGGCGAAAGGCCCAGCTCCGTCCCCATACATGGCATCGAAAATGGGCTTATGACCGCTCCGGTACCATTGTCTATTGTGTATAGCGACGGTCGCCACGTGGGGCTTGGCGCCCCTGGGGAGGCGAGCGGTAGGCACCA